CTCAATTCCCAGGATCAGCCCAATAACCCAAATTTAAGTAAATCGCATATAATAGTTTCTATTTAGCACCTGCAAAAAATAGTTACTATTAAGTATATTCTACCCAAAATTAACAACAATAACGACTTCAAGTGAGAGGCTCAACTCAAAGTAAGTCAAAAGAACTCAAATTTTGGGTAGTATTTTTTCTCCGTGTAACATCGTATACACGGCACTACAACAACTCAGCGACCGCGAGTGAGTTGACTCTCCGTGCAAATCAAATGGAGAGTCACCTCCTCGCGGCACAGAATAAAGGGGGACTGACTTTTGTCACCAGCATAGACCTGGGGTTAGCGGCAACTTCTTGCGATGGTTACGTGCATATCTCACTGATCGACATCTTCAAGGCTGGTGCACAATGTATAAGTTTCCGGGTTTTCTGACAAATAATGCATGGGCTAACTGTCAAAAAACCTGAAAACTTATCCGTTGTGCGCCGGCCTTCAGTCATCGGTTATTGCCGGTCTTATATTTATTTGCCACGTCAGGAATACATCAAGGAGCTCACCTTTTTTTTTTTTTTATTATTTACTTTATTTGTACAGGCTCAATCGAATAAACTTTACAGAGCCGAGTTATCATTTTTGTTATACATTATTGATTTCTTATATTTAAAGTTAAAGGAGCTGGACCGGATACTCGCGGTTGTCTCGAGGTTAGTGGGGATTTACAATTTTTTTTGGATGGGAAAAGGGAGAGGGAGGTTTGAAATGTGGTTTACGATACAAATATTTAATTAATCCTAAAACATGAACTAATTTCTATTCATCTTGAAAACAAACATAAAAAAAAAACCCACACGTACAAAATACAAACTAAACACAAGGTTAATAAAGCTTACAATCTAATGTTAATATTCTTAAAGTAAACATATAAAGGAGCTCACCTGGGACCGTTGATTTTCTTACCCTATTTCGATGACGTGAATTTAATCTTCAAAGACCAACGACTATCGTCTGCAGATGATGTTACAAGCTCGATTGTTAACTGTCTAACGCCAGTTCGAAGCCTTTGCCAGCTGCTGCAATTTCATTTCATTTTCATTTTCATTTTCAAGCACAGAAGGGGGTCATAGGGCCAAGTCACCAGTGAAAAATCGCTGTCCATACTGCACCAGGGTAGAGGTATAGATTTGGCATCACAGAATAATAACCACAGAAGTCAAATGAATCCTGTTTACGATACCGGATAGTAAGGAAAGCTGTTGAACATAGGGGATAGTCAGAGTAACAGCAATAATAGTTTTTTTTTTTTTTTTTTTTTTCTTCGGTTTGTTTTTTCCGTCGATCTTGTTTTCCGTGCTGAGCACCAATGCTACCGACGTGCCAGGAAGGCAGCTCCCACACCTGGACCCTACCTATCGACCCATCAACTCATGAACCGGGGACCAACGGCTTTACTTCCCATCCGAAGGAAGGCGTGATCAGAGATGTTATGCCTCAGAACATCCCGGCGGCGCCGACTGGGATTGAACCCAGGCCTGCTGGGGTGAGAGGTAATCACGCTTACCACTACACCACCGGCGCCGTTACCAGCAATAATAGTGAAAGTTAGGAAAATAAGCAGGTAGAGATGGTTGATTTGCAATGGCTATCGACTCTGTTATATGGCCTACCGTATCAGATTCAAATTTAATGTCGTTTAATATTGCGCTTATTACTTTTATCTTTATTCTAAGCAATCTCCTTTCATACTTGTTTGTTTTAAAGTGAACTGGATGAAATGATTGTTTTATCAAAATTATGTTAAAGCTAACTACTATTCATATTTGCTAATTAATACCTAAATGTAATTTTTAATTTTATGAAGATAAGTTGCTCAGAATAGCAGCCTGTAATTCCGTACCAGAATCCGCCTCCAATTTAATGTCTTTTGTGGATTCGTAGTAGCAAAGTTGTGCTAAAAGCTAAATAGTTACCTAAAAATACTACCTAAATCGTTCACAATCAGAGCCGGGCCACTGATGAAAACCAAAACTACAACCCTGAAAAAACGAATCGATATTTTCGAAGGCGAACACAACCTATTCTTGCTAGTGATTCTGTCCAATTGTTAGGTATCCAAATTATAGTCATTCGTAAATTTATTATTGAATATATGGATGAATTATCTATTATTGAATAACTATTATTTACGATAATTACATGAAAGACATAACATATAAACTACAAACAAAACGTGACTACTAAAATCTCAAACAGATATTCTCACAAGTATATTTCACGCAACCAGGAATCTCAAAACCATCAGACGCTATAATGATACTCTGCACATGTTAGACACAAGAAAAGGCCAAAAAGCAAGCGTCCGACACACAAAACCCGCCAAATCCACTGGCAGTCACAATCAACGATTCTACGAATCGCGAGCGCTCACGAATCATAAAACCGCTGACTGCGACACTCTGAAAGCGAAATTGACAGGCTCTATGCGTCAAACACCCGCCCTCTAATCTCCTCCCGCATCCAACAACACAAACCCCATTACAACATCTAACGAATTCAAAACTCCGAAAATCACTCATCTATAGAAAGTGAGTGGAAGCAACCCTGCATGCAACTATTCTTCATGATACGCTTTGTCTGTCTATCTTTCTATTAGGCCTGTGGACATGTGTTAGCTTCGAAACTTCTAACCAAACTAGGAAAATTTTGAAATCACAAAAAAAAAAAAAAATCAAAGGTAATTACAAGCAAAATACATATTGATTATTTTACGCAAAACCGAGCAAGTAATATTAAATCTCTTGTATTGTATGCTAATGCTAATTGACTGTAACAAAAATAATATGCTTAAATAAAATAAAATATTAATAAAATGATATGCAAAATTTACTAGAAGGTCATTACTTTATTGGTGAGAAGTTTCTAATAAGCCCTCCCAGTTCCTCTGTATACAGAACAAATCTGATACTATAATCAGAATTGCTCAGTCTGCATGAAGCAGCCGATTGCATCAAGGAAGTTCTATTAACAACCAAGAATTCAGTGCCAACATTTCAAAGGGGCGTAATTGCATTTGTAAACAATGGCTTTAGCCGTCGATTTCCCGCGAATAAAAGCTCACTCATGAAAAATAATGACACCAGCAGGTAGAGGAATGTTTCCTCTACCAGCTCGAGTTGTAATTTTGGAGAGGTAAGATTTCATTCGCGAGAAATTGACGGCTAAAGTCATTGTTTACAAAAGCAATTACGCCCCTTTGAAATGTTGGCACTGAATTAATCGTTTGAGGTATACTGAAGCATTAAGAAGGTGATATGTGTCACTATGGGAAATCATCATCGTTGCAAATATAAAGAAATTAAACATAACCCTTTGCTTCAGTACCGTCAACCTCCATGTCCATGGGGAGGGCCTTTGCCAGCTGCTGCAATTTAAACCAAAAGGTGGTTAACCCTACGAAGTTGCTCAATGATCACTTTCACTCGGAAGAAAGAACCCGTCATATTTGACTAAGAGCTTTTGGGCGCAATAATCGAACGTGTCAGCCACTTCGTCGCACTAACTACATACATGTATTAATACATGTATTGTATCTTGCAAGATAATTGCGCGTTAGCGTTGCTGCACGATTTTGACGCCAAATAAACGCGCTGAGCATTTCATTCGGCGGCGCTTATATAAAATTTACATGAGCTTGCAGCGGTAGCACGCCCACATGATACCCGCACATCCATACCGGAGCTAAAGGCTCTAAGTTAAGTTAAGCAATGTTAGCGATTCTATAAAATTCCCCAGAAAACCATTTCCCAGAATGCACTATTCTCCAGAAAAGCATTCCCCCCAGAATGTACCATTCCCCAGAAAAGCATTCCCCAGAATGTACCATTCCTCAGAAAAGACGATGAAATTAGTAATTTATCACTTTTTTTGTCATTTGATATTATATTTCAGTTTTATATTACAGAACAGCCGTCCATAAATAAACAGGTCCGCAAGTATCTTGCACACTGAATAAGACATCTTCTGAATACCAATTTTCTCGATAATTTTTACACATTTGATTCAATATATTTTTCATGATAAAACTCTCTGATTAGTTTCACTTTACTATTGATGATACGCTACGTTTACTTTTATGGAACCATGTATTTATCAATTCCAAACCATTTTAAGGCTCTTTAGAAAATGACAACCTTCAAGTTTTCGAGTTTTCATTTAAAAAGTCAAAGGGTCTATTATGCAATCCAATTCAACCAGTCGGAAACTGTTAAACCTTATCGAAGAATTGTTCGACCTGAGTTGAAGAATTTCTCGTGATGGATTAAAAAATCGGTGCATGGAACGTTGAACTAACGATTACAAATTTATAAAATTATTATCACACGTTATTATCCCAAATGGTCATTACCCCGAATCCCTTGCGAAAAGCTATTGATTATATATTATATTAAAAGAAGGGAATATTACCATCTTTTTCATACATACATCCAAAGAATTAATTAATTGCTCTTTTTTATATTCAAAGAAAGGAAATTCCCTTCTTTATCGTTTGTCCAAAGAATTAATTATTTCCTTTTGTTATATTTTCAAATAAGGGAATATTCCCTTCTTTATCATATATTTAACAAATTAATTATGTTCTCTTTTAAATATTAAAAGATGGGAATATTCCCTTCTTTATCGTATATCCAAAGAATTAATTATTTTCTTTTCTTATATTTTCAAAGAAGGGAAAACCCCTTAATCCATTAAGGTCTCCTAAAACCTCTTGACCAATTAAGAAATTTTTCCCTTCTTTTTATATACGCGAAAGAAGATTCCAGGAGTGACTATAATAAACAAAAATAGTCAATCTAATACATGGCATACTTTTCTTGGGGAATGGTACATTCTGGGGAATGGTGCATTCTGGGGAATGTTATAGAATAATATAAGCGGTTGAAAAAAAACAAGATATTTCCAAAAGGATTAAAGTAGTTCCGAAATCTTGACGGATTTCGGATGATTGACCACGGTTTTTTATGCATATACATTTCGTTATTATTGATAAGCCAGCGTTACTTACATTCGATGCCCTCTCTAATTGTCAGCAGTAAGCGCGGTAAACTTCTGTATATCAGACAGTTTGTAAATTTCCTCATACGGGTGATATTTTTTCATATGCTTTACGTACAGTATCCTGTGCGAGTAGGCAGCCTGGCAAACGTGACACACGTACGGTTTTTCACCCGAATGGCTACGCAAATGCAGGGTTAGTACCGTATTGACATAGAACGACTTTGGACAGTGGGGGCATTTGAAGTCGCGCTTCTGTGTGTGTACTCGCATGTGCATATCCAACCGAGATCTGCAAATAAATGGATCTGTTAGTATGAGATTATTTCGCAAACGCATATTTCTGAAACGTTACTTCGTCAATACCATCAGCCCGCAGAGTTCGCACTTGAATTGCTTCTCCCGATGCAAATAAGAATGCGTCCTTAGAGATAGCATACTTCCTAAGATCTTCCCACATTCCTCACACGGGAAGCATCCATTAAAATGCGTTCGTTTGACGTGAATTGTGCGTGAGTTCGCGCATCGAAATGACATATCACATCCAGGTTTCTCACAGGCATAGGGCTTCACACCCAAGTGAGAATTCAAATGGCTCTCCAAACGAGTATCCTGGATTCTTTTGCCACAGTGCTCGCAGATGACATGCCGTCGTTCATCGTACAGTTCTTTCTTTGACCGCGTCGCAAGCTGCTCTTTTGTGAAACGTATTAGTTCCCGTTTTCGAGGTGCTCCATACTTTTTTTTCGGCACTGGTTCCTCTTCAAATTCCAACGGTTTGATGTTGGAATCATCGTCGTAATCTGCATTTTTCTGTTCATGCACATTCGACCATGCACTGCCAGCTGGAGGTGCCGGAGGATTTGCTCGAACCGAAAATCCAACACTGACCGGGCGCTGCTTTGGGTTTCGGAGTTCCTCCCGCTGGCGGCATGTGTGCTTCAAATTGTAGTACTTGTTGATCTTGCTGAGGCACGAATCGCAAGCTGTCAATGAGATATATCGCTTGGAGACATCGATCTATAATAAAGGAACATCATTGGACTTCCGGCTCGTAATGATAATGTCAATTTCATATCATATTATGTGCTTACCATCAAACAGAAAACATCCTGAGCCTTTTCGCGGAAATTACGATCTACAAGTCGTTTGTTACTGATGCACGTTTGCAAGCATATTCGACATTTGCGCATTTTTTTTTATAAATATTGTTTGACGATCTCAAGTACGATGAAAAAATAGAAAATAGAGATTGCTAAAGTATGATTGTGTAAGTGATTTGTATTCATCGGGAAAATTTTCCGATGAAGTTTTTTTTTCCCGATGAAAACATTTTGCGTATACGTATACGTGACGCACACTACGTACGACAAACGTCAGCAATTTCTATAGCGAGTAGATTCTCAGCTCGAGCTCGAGATTCTCCTTTAACTTTTCGAAATTGTTTGTAAATAACATACTGTCACTCTCACTTATGGTATCTGACACAAAAACCGAAATTGAGAGGTGATAATGAGATTTGCTTGGCCGTAAGGGCCCGTTCAAATATTATGTAACACATGCGTCTCAATGACGTTTATATAAGGTCTGGGCCAAAGGGCTTATTGGTGTTAGTGACGTGTGCAAATGTTTAGTGGTGTACGTATTTTATTGCAATGTTTATCTTTTAACACGAAACAGCTGTTGGCAGTGACGTATTTCTATCTGTTCGCAGATGTTCAGCAATGTTTACAACATTTTTGCTTCTAACACCAGCAAGCTGTTTGTTGGCCCAGAGCTTATATAAACGTCATTGCCAGCGTCTGGCTGAAAATCTCCTTAATAAAGACAAGCCTCCGGGGTAAGCCAGATGGTAGAACCAACAATCAATACGAAACTAACGATTTTAAAATGGCTCACTACTTGACTAGCCTATTGGTCCCAAGCAAACGATTAACGTACCCCATTCTAGTCGAAATTATAGTACTACGCAATGTTTGTTTTGATTCGCTATGATAGTTTGACAGATAAAATGAGGGGTTATTGGTTTTTTCCTATGTTTCGAGGGGTGAATCGATTAGCTTGGGACCGAAGAGAGTACCAGAGCTGAGCCAAAAAGTTGAACACATTATTTCGGGACCTTCTAGTCATACACAGCAACAAAAAATGTAATATCGATCAACGTAATTCAAGCTGATGTTTGAAATAATGATGTAATAGCAAAAAGCAGATACAATATTACATCAATGGATGTAATTTTGTTCGCAAAATCGATGTACATCGTACAATGTGATATTACACAACCGATGGATTGACCTGGTTGCAGCAGTTTCGATGTAATATTCAACAACTTTTTTTGCTGTGTAGAGTTACCTCTATGGTACCAGAGCTGAGCCAAAAAGTTGAACACGTTATTTCGGGACCTTCTAGTCTTAGAGTTACCTCTATGGTACCAGAGCTGAGTCAAAAAGTTGAGCAAGTTTCTTCAGGACCTTCTGGTCTTAGAGTTACCTCTATGGTAGAACTATCCCACAATTGGTTTGGATTATATCCCGAACACGTCGTTAAGCTCCTTCTTATGCTTTTATTAGGGCTATCCAAGGGGCGATCAACTTCATGAATCAGCTGAATTGTAAACCCGCGTAAACGGGAACCATATCCTGACCTTACCGAAAATGGTTAAAAATTGTTTATAATCCCTGCTAATTTTTTGCTGAAATGGTTATGGAACATGAACGTTTGTGTGATAAAGTTTTAACCTTATTATGGTTTTTTTAAGGTGAACCTTACAAATAATGGCAGTTTTGACAGAATGGTATTAAATTTGTTTATATTTATAGTCAACTATACTGAAATCATGGTAGATTTAACAGCATGTTTTCTGCAAAATAGTATTCCTAACTATGGTCTTTGTTTCAGTGTAATCGAAATTCAACAGTGAAAATCATTGTAATTTCGTTGTTTTATTATAATTATTTTTTTCGGGTACGTGTCAAAAAACCTGTTCGACCAAAATGTCCAACCCCAAGTGCACAAACCGGCGTTTGTTTTGAATAAATTTGAATTATTTACGTGTAAACGTCAAAATAAGCCAACAGTATCGCATTCAGTAAGCGTCATTCGTCGGTCCCAGTTGAAATAAAATTTAATATTAAAAAATGTCCACGGAAAAGCTATGTCGGCTCTGTATGGGTCGTTCCAATCTTATACACTCCGTGCTAGACGATAATCTGCTGCAAAAGATTGCCATCTGCGTTAGCATTATGGTAAGTTTCTCTACTTGCAAACTTGTAACCTTCATAGACGCAGCACTTATTTTTCCAAACCTATTGCAGATTAATCCAGCGGATAAATTGCTTCCTCTAGAACTGTGTGCTCTATGCGCACTAAAAGTCAAAGATTTTTTTGAATTTCGGCAGAATTGTTTGAAGGTTCAACAGCTATTGGAACAGGACGCTTGCAGCATAAATGTCCAATCTGTATCGCAACCCTCACCGATCGCCACAGTTAAACAAGAAAAGTCGTCTACTAAGCCTGAAGAACATTTGCAAATTGCGAAGTTCGAAGTGATAATCGATGAGGACGAAAGGTTGAGCGAAATACAAGACGCAGAAGAGTCTTTGGAGGAGCCAGATCAGATGATAGAGCAGTTGGAAGATATAGCAGACGAAAACGACCTAGTTGAAGACTTAGTGGAGCAAGATGAGGTACTTTCCGAGACGGAGCAAACTATTGAATCAGAAAATGTGCCAGAAAGTGATATTCAGACAACAGACGCCCGCGACATTGATTACGAAATTCAAATGATCGAATTGAACTTCGACCAGAACCCTTCGGAAACATTAATGGACGAAGATGAGGAAGAAGAATATAACGATGAACAATTCATAGAGGATGTGGAAGAAAATGATGAAGTTCACATTCAGGAAACTTTACCAACGAAAAGTGTAAGCAAAACTAGTTTAAACTCCTGCACGGTGAGGAAAAAAAAACATCCGCATGACCCAAAACCTGAGCGTGACGAGAAAGAAATCTATAAATCACTTCTGCAAAAGTGTGCGAACTGCGGAAAATCTGTAGAAAGGAATCGGATGGAAGGTCACCTCAATCGACATCTGGATGTGCGACCGTATATTTGTACCGAAGGGAACTGTGGTATGGCTTTCCATTGTAAAATTTCCCTTAGGCTTCACACCAAAAACCGCCACGGCACTGAAGAGTTACATTGTGACCTTTGTGACAAGGTTTATTTTTCGAAAAAAGCACTCTATCACCACAAAAAGGAAAGCCACGCGGACAAGCACTTTGCCTGTGATGAGTGCGGATTGGTGTTTGTATCCAAGTGAGTCTTATACTATCGACAGACATGATTGTAGTAGCGTTGCACTCCTTTAATCCAGTATCGCAATGGACGTACTAAATTAAAAAAGTACAGCGGTACTAAAATCGTGTCTATCATAAATATTATGTGACGTATATGTCTTTTCTACTGATGGATTGGTATTATAATAAGATCTTTCTTTTCAATATTTCAGTGCCCGTTTGAATCGTCATAAGGTGACCCACACGGATCAAAGAGAGTTCAAGTGTCCACACTGTCCAAAAGAGTTCTACAGGAGCAATAATCTTAAAGTGCACATTCGTAGCCATACGAAGGAGAAACCATTCAGTTGCTCCTCATGCGACAAAGCGTTCGGCTATCAGAGGCTTTTGCGTGAGCACATGAACCGACACCATAAGGGCAATTTTGTTCTTTAGAACATTCTTCGATAGATATAATTTGGCGCATGTTGCCATTTTTTAAATGTTCAAATAAATTGTCGAATGTTATTGGAAAAATTAAAATTTATGGTTTCTTATGTTTGCTAAAGATGCTTTGATTACTTCTAAATAAAAACGATGATCTGTTGTTGAAAATCGTATTGATTGATGCCTAATGCCATGATGCCATATATCATTGTGGTAATATATTCGTTCAAATCCAAAACTTATGCAACGAGATTATGCATTTTTTCGGTCTCATTCACGTAAAATAAACTGACGAAAAAATCTGCTCCAACACTTTGTTTTAAGCGATTGGTCACAATTAGTCGCATATTTCGAGAGCACTGCACAATACTGCCGCTCATCGCAAGTCGGTCCCATAGACGTTTTTGTAAAAACTGAGTTTGTTGTTCAATGGAAGTGCTAGCTAATCATCCATAGTTTCATAATACTGGATAAGCTCAACAACTTTGTTCGGGAAAAGTTTGGAAAAAAAAACAGCCAAATGGGATGTCCCATTGCATATTCCTTGATTTGTTTTCCGTTGATCTTGTTTTCCGTGCTGAGCTCCAATGCTACCGACGCCAGGGAGGCAGTTCCCACACCTGGACCCTACCTATCGACCCATCAAACTCATGAACCGGGGACCAACGGCTTTACTTCCCTTCCGAAGGAAGGCGTGATCAGAGATATTATGCCTCAGAACATCCCGGCGGTGCCGACTGGGATTAAACCCAGGCCTGCTGGGGTAAGAGGTAATCACGCTTACCACTACACTACCGGCACCGCTCTACTGCTGTCATGATTACCTGAGATTTATCAAATAATGTAAATAGGGTTAACTACCCCATTTCCGGCCTAATAAGCACAACCCGCACTTAGTCTTTCTTAATCTAGCGCAGTTTAGCACCAAACGGAATGTTACTATTACTGATGGCCAGGGCTTCTTCTCACTTGCTATAAAAAAATGTTTTTCGGAATTATAAAATCGTTAGATGTTTTTATGATATTTTGTACTTGTAAGTTTAAAGAAGAGTTTGCAAAGTATGTGATTGACACATGAAACCTGTCAATTTTGCTTTCAGAGTGTCACAATCAACGATTTTATGATTCGTGAGCGTTCACTCAGAGTGAGCACTCGCGAGTCGTAAAAACACTGATTGTGACTATCTGAAAGCGAATTTGACAGATTTTATGTGTCAAACACTTGCCTTTCAATCTCTTCTTGTATCGAACAAGTACAAAATATGATTATAACATCTAATGATTCCAAAGTCCTTAAAATATATTTTTTATAGCAAGTGAGTTGAAGAAAGCCTGCTGATGGCTTCCAAATTCATTTACCTTTCCATACGTACCGTAAGATTTGATAAAGAGAAACCAATCGTTGAGATATTGTCTAACACTTCTTCTTGACGTCAAACTCGGCCTACGGATTCTAAACTCGGCCTAACGTATTGAACCGCCAATAAATTCACTTTGGCCTATCGGATGAAGATAAAAAATTGGTTTGGTCGGAGCGCTTCTTTTGTTTTTGAGAATAATGGATGCAAACATTCATATCACGCGTTCTGATTAACTTCGTTCGGTAGCTTACTAACTAAAGTATCGTACCAAACGCATAATTGACTTGTTCACTCTGAAATCATGGATTTATTTGAAGTTTTCTCCTCGATAGGCCCAAAATGGGCAATTAAGCCGAAGTAGTTCTCTACCCTATTTGCATCGATTTTAGGGCCCAATTTAAGATCCATAGACCAACATTAGAGCCATTTCCCCTACTAGCAGCTGCCATGTAGCAAGCTGAGATATTTTCCTTTATCTGCTTCGGCTTCTTATAGCGAATTCGTATATTATTCAGTTCCAACCTGGATTGGGTATCAAGATTGGGTCAGCTTGTTTTCTGACAAACGTCAGTTTGATCGTTTGTTTTTAAAACCCAGCTCAGGCTGAGGTTCGCACTGACAAAAAGTTCGGTTTCGCACTATTAGCAACAATCAATACGAAACTAACGATTTTAAATTGGCTCACTACTTGACTAGCCTATTGGTCCCAAGCAAATCGATTACGCACCCCATTCTAGTCAAAATTCTAGTACACAGATAAAATGAGGGGTTATTGGATTTTCCTATGTTTCGAGGGGTGAATTAGCTTGGGACCGAAGATAGTAGCAGAACTGAGCCAAAAAGTTGAGCACGTTTCTTCGGGACCTACTAATCTTAGAGTTACCTCTATGCTATTAGCCGTTGGTCCCGCCCCATGTGTCATGTGTGTTGAATGGATGTGATATCCTACGCAGGTATGGAAGCTGCCTTCCTGCACATTCGATTGCTGTCAACGGATGGCAATCGATGTCCGTCGGTGATTGGCACTAGATTGCGGAACAGAGACCGACGTTAAATAAAGGAAATGAAGAAGAAGTTATTTTCAATTTTATGACGAAAACAAAATCCAAGAATTACCGATTTTTTGTCCATGTAGAACCGGTTATTTCAGTATGGTATATTGCGAGGTATATTGGGACCTCGATTGGAACAGATTTACCAGTTTTCGGTAACGGTAATACCGGTACTCTAACCCTCGGTGCGTGTCAACAACAACGGCAGATTTTAATCAAACGTTGACTGTGGTATATTCGGCTGGCCTCTCAACTGGATCTCGAATGCTGAACTACATTTTCGGTGTCATCAGAAACCGATATCAACAGAAATAGGAGAACTTACGTGGAGGTGGGTCGGCTATACACTACGAAGGGACGGGAACGTAATCTGCATGCAAGCGCTGAATTGAAACCCGACAGGATATCGTAGCAGAAGTACACCTAGCGGCTCATGGCGGCGGAGCCTCAACAAGGAAATCAAGCAAGTCGTTAAGAATTTGTCCTGAGCCCAGATTAAAGCAAAGTAAGTAGCCGCCCAGAATGGAAGCCTTTCACTGAAAGTGCACAGAATACATGAGAGGCTGAATGAAACGATAACATCTAGTGGCAACGTAGCACATAATTTTAGGGGTTAATTTATTTAATTTTCTCAGTCACTTACTCCTAAGATTACACCTTTTCCCTTTAAGCCATCGACCCACCGGTGGGTCGCGGGCTGCCCTTAGCTGGGTCGCACGACACCAAATAAAAAAAAATGTTCTGAATTTCCGAATCATTTATAAAGGGCTTTTGGTGTTGGTTGAGCAATTTCTGTTTAATTCCTGTCAATAGCAAATGTTTCAAAATAATAATTCAAGAATTTGAATGCTCTTTAATGTGATTTGAAGACTGTTTTGCTGTTTTTTAAACACTTTTTTTTTTGCGTTTTCAAGAGTCTTGCAATTTTTTTCTTTTTGGTAATTTTAAGTCAATTTTTCCGTTGCCAGATGTCCTTGACAGATGCATTTTGAAATATTTTTTACCAGGCAGTTTTAGGCAATTAAGCGAGTTTAACATCATTCCTTAAAAATTGGTGGGTCGCCAGTTTATGGAATATTTAAAAGTGGGTCGCAGTCAACAAAAGTTTGAGAACCACTACTTTAGGCAATTAAGCTAAAAATGCAAAGGGGCCTAATTCAATAGCGCGTTTTGCACCCATCGAATTTTTGGCAGATTTAAAATTGCTATAAACGAAAGCTCTGTAAATCACTGTCTGACGACCATAATGACATTTAACAGTACTGCTGCTGCTCACTCCTACATGAAAGCTATAGCTTTACTGTTCTCATGTCTAAATTAATCAAACCGCATACGAAAATACCGAGGGGTTTGATGTTTACATAGGGTAAATGTCGGTTTCGGCATCCATTGCCTGTTTTCGGCAATCAAGATTTAAACTTCAATTTCACTGTAATTTCCCATCAAAGCATTTCACTGAATGTATTCACACGATTCCTTAGTCTTTCCGCTTCAATCTGATTACATTTCTATGCTTGAGCAATCCTGTTAAGCTAGATTTTTCTTCAAATGAAATATACACACTACAAAATGTGGCTGATTTCGAGCTGCCAATAATAGAACAGCTGGTTAACACGCAGTTCAAATGGATAGGTTGCCGAAGAAAAAGAGGCTGCCGACAATAGTCACACTCACCTGAGAAGTTTGGAGCTTTGTAAAAACGCTTTCAAACAGTTTTAAACAATTCTGTCGATTGGAAGCAAGCAGCAGATAAGTGTAAACAAATATATGTCATATGTGTGCGTGACGCTGAAAAAATGCTAGTAAAAGTGCTTAGATTGACGCAAATACGTTAATTCCCCTAAATCAACAAAATCTGAAAATGTATCTGTTGCGACGTAAATCAGTCCAAAACCTGCCACTTCCCAAAAGGGAAAGGCTCTCAAGTAAGTAGATATTATGTACTTGAACATGCAGCGGGAATAGGAACGAAAAATTTCAACGCCCTTGTCAACGGACGAGCCGACAGTGCTATAGAGAACGGAAATTGAAATCGCGCTTCGATCGGTTTTGTTCGTGAGTTATTATCTTGTGAAGAATATTTCCAAGTGATTGGTATCGAAAAACAGAATCTCATTTGGCGGGATGATTAGATAATATGTACCGCATTCCCCATCCTATATAGGCAAGCTATACAAGTCACGTTGCGATCCTATCCCGCCACGATGCCGATTTAAGAGAGGTAATGTTATTTGCTAAACAGGTTTTCGTATCCATTACACAGCATTTTGACGAGTGCATCGCAGTTCCAGTTTTCCCATCATTGCAGCCAATTCAGCCTTGTTTTTTTGCTAACCTACCCCAACAAATTTTGAATGTAAGTCACCGCAACCGAGCTACACATGAGTAGTGCTTTTGCGTACGCACTACTCATATGCATTACAGGCGGGAACGAGCACGCAAATTACACGTAAACGGAGATAATTGCGCTGCATATGTGGCCGTTATGATTGCAAATATACCCATTGCAGCCGTGGTAAACAAGTTAAGCTATAATATCAGGTTTCCTTGGACAGCGTGCACCGAAGAAGACGCTGACAACGGAACAATGACTTTTTAAAAACCCAAATCTTGAAAGTTCATGATGCATGCACAAACAATGCAAATATGCACGGACGTAAGTACCTATATACGAATGCAATCCAACGCAAGTCCGGCCAC